ACAATCCTAGCAGAGTCTTGAGCATAGAGGCTCCCAACAAATATTTGTCGATCATCATCATCATCATAATAATAATAATTTAACTAATTTAGCTAACAGTTATATAGTGTTTACTATGTGCCAGGCACTGTGTACTTTTCAATTATCACCTCCTTTGATCCTCAAAACCACCTTAGGAGATAGGTGCTATTATTATCCCCATTTTGCAGATAAGGAAACTGAGGCAAACAGAAGTGAAGTGATTTTCCCAGGGTCACACGGTTAGTAAGTGTCTAAGGTCAAATCTGAACTCCTGTCCCAAAGCTAGGTGTTCTATCCACTGCACCACCTAGCTATACCTTTGTATTCTTAGATTCCGTTTTCAGAAAGTTGCTTTGGGTGGGTATGTGCCTTGCTGAAAGCGATTTTGAAAACCATCCAGAGCTGTAACTTTCAGGGGAGCCTCTGGAGCTTTGTCCTAGGGAACCCAACTACACTGGACACTGACCATGATTAGCAAGAATAGTAAGGTAGAATAGAAAGTTACCATCCTCCTATGCAGATGGACACAGCTACATCCCAGCTGACTTCTTCCCCATCCTGGCCTTGTCAGTGTTCCTCCCAAGGGTAGTTTTTGATGCTCCAGAATCTATTTGCCCCAGGCATTTGGGGGTACTTGCCCGAGGTCCTTAGATTGCTAAGTAAAGCTCTGTACTCAGCCATTTTTGTTTTTCACTCGGGAGAAAGAAATGGCAAGGAAGAAAGAGGAAAGAGGGATATAACAAGATAGTTGTGAGGGGGAATCATAGCAAATGTCTTAAAAGGCTTAATAAATAGTAGGAAATGGAGGATGCCAAGTGAGTTCTTTTTTTCCAGAATAACTTGACAAATGTCCATTTTAAACAATTTATGATGCCTTGGATTTTGCTCAATAGGACGCTAGACATAATGAGATTACCAGTGAGAGGATGCAAATTCCAGAGGCAAACAGCTGATTACGTCTGGGGGCCTGCATTGCTCATACATCTCAGCCCGCACTTAGAGGAAATGAGCAAGCATGAATCTCCTTTGGTAAGAGGGAGTAAGTTATGAAGGCACCCATACGCTATATTGAAAATCCAGGAAGTCAGCAAAGAATATTGCCTTCTTAATAATAAATACATTTCGGGGGCAGGAATTGCAGGGGAATCGTTTAAATTAATTTCAGCTTTGTTTGTTTGGTTTGTACAGAGCCTCAAGTCCCAGCTGATAGCAGTCGGTAAAAGTTCTAACATATTGGAAATCTGATTTTCTTACCACTGAAATCCCCAAGCCCAAAATGATTTCTCTTTCAACCTCGCTAATCAGACAGGCAGGGTTACAATTGACTCGTCTAACCAAATTACATTTGGACTTTTTTTTTTCTTTTGCTGGGGAGTAGGGAGGGCATAAATAATATTTAATCAAACTTCTAAATCTAAAACCAATGGGCAGTTACCTCTGGAGACTTAGGAAAGTCGAGGATAAATGCCATACAATTAAATCCCAGGGAGGGGGGGAGGAAGTGCAATCAGAGAAAGTGTGCCCGGGCATCCTCTATTGCCTGGCCAATGTTGAGTTTTTAGGATAGTCTGCTATTAAGAGGTTTGAACTTGGAGGAAATGCATAAGAGCAGCTGAGGACCTTAGCATGTCACTGAGAGGCAGCCCTAGCCATAGGCAGGACTCAAGAAGGGATAAAAAATTGTCCATCTAATCCCTTTCTAGGGGGCAGCTGGGTGGTACAGTGGATAGAGTGCTGGGCCTGGAGTCAAGACGACTCATCTTCCTGAGTTCAAATATGGCTTCAGACGTTTACTAGTTGTGTGACCCTGGGCAAGTCACTTCACCCTGTTTGCCTCAGTTTCCTCATCTGTAAAATGAGCTGGAGAAGGAAATGGCAAACCGCTCCAGTGCCATTGCCAAGAAAACTCCAGATGGGGTCACAAAGACTCGAACACAACTGAAAATGACTGAACAACAACAAACAAAACCCCTTCCTGAGCCCCTGATGATACATGGCTGTGTAATCCATCCTAAGTTTTTTCTTGAGTATAAATCTTCTCTCTCCCAACAAGACTATAAACTCCCAGATGACAGGGATTGCCTGATCAATGCATTCTTATACTAGACAAATCCCTCACCTTCCCCACCCACCCACAGTATCCAGGAGAGTACATAGTAGATGCTCAGTAAGAAGTGTGACTATAAATTAATGATGAAAAAAGTACTTTGGAAATGGCAAAAACTCCAGATCTGGAGTTCTTATGCTGGGGTCTGTGAATTTTTTGTTGTTGTTCTGCTCTTAATATCTAGTTACCTGATGCATTTTAAAACTTTATTTTGAGAAGGGATCATCACACACACACACACACACACACACACACACACACACACACACTGATTAAAAACCCCCACACTAGGTAAAGGTGAGATAGTATTGAGAGGGGCAGGGTCTGATCTATGATGTCCTCAAGGTGAGGGGCTTTCAGGGCAGAAGCTATCTCTTCACTGGTACAGATCAGTAACCTGTTTGTGATAATTTATAATCTTAGATGATTGCCCAGGTCACTGAGAGATTAGGAAGGCAGTGTGGCATACTGGAAATCAGGCAATCAATAAACATTTTAAAGTGCCTACTATGTGCCAGGCACTGGGTCTGAAGTTGGAAGAACTGGGTTCGAGTATGCTTTTTACTCACTAAATGTTAACCTTGGGACAAGTCACAACTTCCCCAAACTTTAGTTTCCTTCACTGCAAATAAAGCATTTGGCTTCCAAAGTTCCTTCTAGCCAGGGGTGTGCAGGAGCCAGCTCCTACTAGTTTGTGAGAGCCAGTTGTTAAATTTTCAGTGTGAGTATTCACACTTCAGAAATTATTAAATATTACAAACAGGGTTGGATTTATTATTGTGCTGATTGTCTAGACTTTAAAAAGTGATAGGAAAACTATTCATAAGACAGATTAAAGCGTATGCTGTGCGTATATCCCACCCCACCCCCACCCTACCCTGCTCCTGAGTCACTTGTTAAACATTTACCAGCACACTTTGGCTTCTAGCTCTAAATCTCTGATCCCATGACTACAGCCGGGATCTAGCAGAGGCAGGGCTTAATAGAACTAGTAGCAATAGTAAGGAAACTAACTTGTCAATCAGTAGACCAAAAAACTTATTATCTAGGCTATCTTTCAAGGCAGATCCCTGGAAAAGCAACACCTTTTCTCTTGCCTGAATTGATAGACTCAAATTCAACATGCAGTCACTAAGTGCCTATGGTGAACTAGATACCAGGAATACAAAGACAAAAATGTAGTAGTGAGGGTGCGGTGGGAGTCATCCCTGCCCTCAAGAAGGTTACATTCTACTGGGGGAAAGAAAGATGTGGCATTTATCAGAAGTATAATACATGGTAGCATTGTCACGGGGTGAAGTGGACATCCAGACAAGGTGAGGTTGGGGTAGGGACTGGACCTTTGATTTCATAGGTATGGGGAACTCACCCCTGGATGAGGAAACTCCCTCTACTCGTCCTGGTAGTCAGCCTAGGGAACCTAGAACGCTAAGGGGTTATGTGACTTACCCAGCCAGTATGTGTCAGAGATGAGAATTAGGGTTGGGTCTTCCTGGCTCTGAGAGCAGCTTTCTGTCCATCACACATGGGGCAGCCTAAGAGAGAAGGACACTTTTAGTTAGAGGGATCAGGGAAGATTTCCTGAAGACAACAGTGCCTGAGCTGAGCCTTGGAATCTAAAAGGCAAAGACGAAGAGGGAGCTCATTCTAGGTATGGTAGCATAATGACCTGTTCAAAGGCAGAGCTAGAAAAACAGGCTTATGACTTAAGGGGAAAAATAAACTTTGTTTTCACATCTCACTAATGCTTCTCAGCTGACAGGCTGCTTCAGGAAGTAGTGAATCCCTGCCCACACACACCTCATGAGGTGCCTTCCAATTCTGAGATCCTCAGGCACATCCCAGAAGGTCTTCTTATTCCCTTAGCTAAAACTTGGCCTAAAACTCCTGCTCACCACTATTAGTGAGGTGCAAAGCAAATGCTATCTCAGTTTTGAGAAGTAGGCATTTTTTGGGGGGGGGACCCTTCCTCCAGAGCTCCCCCCTGCCAACAGATAGTAGCCTGAGCCTTGAAGAGATGGAAGGATCCTAAAAGATATCAGTGGAGGGGAGTGAATTCAAACCAACAGGGTTGACTAGTCTTCAAATGCCCAGTGATGGGAAATGTTTTCAGAGATAGTGTTTAACCCACACAAGAGAAGTAGGCTTAGAAGACTGAGTGAGAAAAAGCATTCATATTTTTGTGACTTTGTTATTCACCATATAGCCTAAGCTTGAAGGCCTGCAATGAGTAGCGATACACCAAATATAACAGACAATATCAAGGCAAATACGGTGACTTTATTCTTTGTCCTCATCCAGGTCAATCTGAAATTCCACCTTGTTTTTCTTCCTCTTTCCTTTCTTTTCTTCTTCTTCCAAAATATACATATATATCTATATGTATATGAGTATGTATTTCTATTCAATGTGTATATATTTTCAGTTGTGCTTTTACTCCGCATCGCCTCATATATGTCTTTCTGTATTTTCTTGTGTGTTTCATATTTCTTGTTTTTTTACAACCCCATAAGATTCCGTTACATTAATCTAGCACAATTTATTGAGCCAGCCAATTGTTCAATGTACAGTTTGTTTCCAATTTCTTGCTTTTGGAAATCAAGCAGTTATGAACAGTTTGTACAGATAGGTCTATTTTTTAAAAATTATGTCTTGGGGATAGAGTAAAAGTCCTGGAATCTTTGGGTTGAAAAGTATGATCAGTTTTGTCTTTCTTACTGCATATTTCTCTCCAAAATGTTTGTACCAGCCTGAAGTTCCACCAACAATGTATTAGTGTGCCTGTTTCACCACCTTGTCTTGTGAATTTCTTCATTTGTTCAATTCTCCCTTTATCTGACTGAATTCTCTTTTTTTTTCCTTTCTTCCCTAGTGCTTGTACGGCTGTTATGTCCATTCCTCCATCATCCCCACCTTCCACCGGAGGTGCTACTGGCTCCTTCAGGTAGGTGGCTGGGTTTCTCCTTCTGTCTTTGGGGCTTGGAAGGTGCCTGGCTTCAGGAAGCCTGTAGAGAGAAAATGGATGGGGAACTTTGTGGAAGGGTATCAGATGAGGATGCTTTGATTGGCTTTGCAAGGCTGAAGTGTGGTTTAGTTGGTTTTCTCTAGGTGACATTAGCAGGATTGAGGCCAGCTTAACTTTGTTTGCTGCTTCCCAAATGAATATTCCTGGAAGAGAATGAGGCTCTTCAAACATTCTCCCACAATGCATTTGGTGCTTTGCCTATGTCCACCATGAAAAAAAGGAGACTACATGTCTCATGTAATTGAAATTCCACAGCAGATGGAGAAATCCTGGCTTTTTGAACCAACTGCCGCTTTGAACCTCATTCTCCCACCTGGGAACAATTCCAACAAGCATCTACTACTAGATGGTCACTTGAGCAAGGCAGTTTCTTTGGTTTTAAAGTCTTGGCTTCATCTTGTCTATTGTGTTACTTATGGAATCTTCTTGATTTGAGCACTTCAGTTGGGATTGGGTTGAAGGGCTTGGCCTAAATGTGTCTGTACATATCCAAGATTGTTGATGATAGACAACTAGATTCTAGGTGTGTCTATGTACTTCCTAGATTGTTGGTGGTAGAGGGATGGCCACTAAGAGAATCTAAGTATCTTCCTCTGGGATGTCACAATAGGGTCTGGATGTGTCTGCATATCTAATAATGTTTGAAATTGGTTGTGGGGTGGGTAGGATTTAGCTCTGAGTATGTCTATATATATTTCAAAAAGTTCAGAATGAAGAACTTTCCTGGGGACATGTGTGTGTGTGTGTGTGTGTGTGTGTACAGTTTATAGATTGTTTGGGATGGAGAGAGAATTTGGGAGAATCTCTACTATCCTACTTTGAGATAAAAAGATTGGGCCTGAGGTATCTGTACGTAGCCAAGATTGTTTGATATGGAAAGTGGTGCCCTGGGCATCTGCATATGTCCTAGATTGCTTGTGAAGAGTGTTTGGGCTCTGGGCATGTGTCCATATTCCAGCAAGTTTGAGATGGAGGGCTGAATCTTGGGAGTGTCTATGCATATTCTTGTTTGTGTGATGAAGGGATGGGATGGTGCCTGGTTGTGCCTATAAATATCCAATACTGTTTGGAATAGAGAGCAGGACCTTCAGTATGACTATATGCATCCTAGGTTTGGGATAGAGGGCTAGCCCCAAATGCAGCATCTTGATCTCTTCTTGTCAATTGGCAGAATTCCTTCTATCTCCATGTTCAGTGAAACATTGACAGAGATGACTATGTGTGTGCCAGACAACCGAGATAATCTATGTATGCCCTCAGGTTTCAGTCACTTGCGTTAGTTTCTCTATAAAAGACCATCTTTGGGTTTGTTGTTGCTTTTTGAGACCCTGACCCTTCACTTCATACTCTCGACCTTCCCCTCTCTACGTCCATGACTTTATTTAGACCTCCCTATGCATGAACTGCTGGCCTCTTTTTGTCTTGACTTAAGGTATAAGCTATATTTGGGGGGGGGGTCTCTTTCAGTTCATATGCTACCTCCTTCCCAAGGCCTTCCCTGATCTCCCCAACCATGAAAGCCTTCCCCACTCAATTACCTCATCTTTACTTTGTATATATAGTTTGTGTTTACTTATTAACTATTCATAATAGCTAGCATTAATATAGTACCTTAAATTTTATAAAATGCTTACACATGTTATCTCATTTGATCCTTATGACAACCCAGTGAAATAGATGCTATCATTATCCTCATTGTTTCAGAATACAATATACTTCTATAGGAGCATAGATTTAGAGCGGGAAGAGACCTTAGAGGCTATTAAGTCCCACTCCTATCATTTTATAGGTAATAATTCTTAGACATAGAGTAGTTAAGTGACTTACTAGTCTTACTTATAGCTACTAAGTGTCTCAGGCAGGATTTGAACGCATCTTCCTGAGTCTAAGGTCAGTGATCTGTTCACTAAGCCATATATATGTATTTCCACTCACCCCCACAGATTGAAAACTCATCAAGGGAAGGGGCTAATTTTTTTTTAGCTTTGTATCTCCAATGCCTGGAACTGTTCCTGGCACATAGTAGGTGATTAATAAATGGTTAATTGCCTAATTGACTCACATTTGCCCTGAGCTACCTCACCAAAGATATGATCCCTGCCCCTTAGAAAATTCTATTGAATTGGAATTTCAGGGGGAGCAGTGTGAGAGGACCTGGACAGATGGAAAGACAGAGCCAATCAATGCTATCCTGGCATTCAGAGATCAAACAGGAGAAATGAATTACAACAGAATAGCTCCAGCAGGGAAGGTGTCTTGGAATAACTCCCCACAAACCAGAACCATTCTAGTGTGAAATCCAAGGCTTAGCCCAGCTTAGGGAGATGTGGGGGGGGAGGGAAGGTGGGGAGCAGATTTCAGAGCTGAGCTATTTCCAGAATTCCCAGGGATAGAATTCAGTCCCTGACGCTTAGATATAGCCCTCACACAGCTTCCACACTCCATTGCCTCCACCAAGCCCCACAAAGCCTCCATCCTCCCTGGTGCTTTCAATTCCCCCAGAGTTCCTGAACATAATTGTCAGTGGTTCAGCAAGTTCATTAGCTAATAATGTCAATAACTGTCCAAAAACAGGCTGATTCATGGGTAGGTGTCATTTCCTTAACACCCAGGGTAACCCCTATCCTCAGTTACCCATAATCCTTCTCCCTTTGAAGTTGGAATATTATTTATTACTTGATTCTCTAATTACTCATCTGATTTCCAACTGAAAGGTGCTCTGTATGTGTGCATTCATAAGAAAATATGGGTCTCTGGCTTGTCTGGGAAGGGCTTATTTTTGTTGTTGTTGTTGTTTTCTGATGCTGCAAATGGAGGGTTTGTATCTCCATCAAGATCCGGTGTTCACAATTCCACATGTTTCTGCCAACCCCAAGACCATATTGGTATTGAAGAGGTGTTTTGCACTCTATTAGGGAAAATATGACATGTATATATAGAAGTATACCTAAAATAAATGAAAAATAGTACAAAGCAATTTCAAGTATATGTTAACAAAGGTGATCAGGCAAGATGACATGCTCCCATATACCTTTCCAGGCTTAATAACTCCCTTTCACACCTTTCCTTTGCATTGAAATTGGCCTATTCCCTGTACACATTTGTTTCCTGCCTCAATTCCCTTGCATAGTTTGTCCCTTATGTTTCTCCCTTCTTATCTCTGCCTCAGCAAATCCCTAGCATCTCTCAAACTACAACACCTGCATGAGACATTTTCAGATCCTCTTCCTCCACCAACCACTCAGTTATTAGCATTCCCTCTTGAAATCACTTTGAATTACTATCTATCTATGTATCTGTCTCTCATACACACATACACACACACATACATGTAATTCAAAGTGATTTCAACTGGAGGGGTATGACATGCAAGCAGATAAGTAAATGAAAAGTATATATACACACACACATACTTTTCATTCACTTATCTGCTTGCATGTCATACCCCTCCAGTAGATTGCATGTCATATCCCCCCCCCCAGGAGAGTGGGGACTAAATAGTACAGTGGAACGAGTGCTAGATTTTACAGTCAGAGGACCTCATTGAAAATCTTAACTCTGTCATCTGTTACCTAAATGGCCTTGGGCAAGTCATGTGATTTCTCTAGGCCATATACATGATTGACAGGGTTGGAATTGATAGCCTCTTGGACCCCTTCCAGCTCAAAATGTATGATCCAATGATGCTATGACTATCTTGTTTTGGTCTTGGTCCCTCCAGCCACTAGCATTGTGACTTGTACATAAAAGACAAAGGCTAGACCTTTGATTTTGTTAGGATAGAGAACTCCCAGGGAAGGAAGGTCCCTCTACCTTCTCTATAATGTAAAATGGCACCTTCTCTATGATGTAAAATTAAAGAGCTGCCTAGAGCACTGACAAGGGAAATGACTTCCCCAGGGTCACATAGCTAGCACAGACCAGTCAGAACTTGAACCTAGGTCTTCTTGGCATGGTGATTGACTTTTAGCTACTATATCATGATGACTTTTACCTTGCACATAGTAGGCGCTTGTTGAATTGAATTGAATTTCAGAGGGCCACAGGATCCTAGCTTTAGAGCTGGAAGAGACCTCAGAGATCATCAGCTCATTAGATAATAGGTTCATAGATCTAGAGTTGGAGTGGACTGCATAGGTCATGGAGGCCAATCCACCCACTTTACAGATTGAATTCAATGGAATGTGGTGTTGTAGAAAGAATGATAGACTTCCCACCAGACTTGGGCTCAATTTTAGTTCAGCTGAAATGAGAAGATTGGACTAGATGCCTCCTTAAGGTTCCTTCTAGCTAGAAATCTCAGGTCCTTTATCTCATCCTGGTTCCCCTTATTGCCCATGGGTCTATTATCTCCCACTTTTCCCCTCACTTTCTTGAATGAAATTTGACTTTTCTTTTTTTGCCATTTCCTTCTATACCTAACTCAGAGACACTCCAGATTCCTTGTTGGCATTTTTTCCTCTTCCCATTACCCCCAAATTTCCTTTTTCCTTCATATTTTAGTATCTTTCAATCCCCTCCCCAAATCTCCAGCTTCTGGTTGCCAGGCCCCACTCTTTCTAGTGGCCTGCATCTTATTACAGTCAAATTATGCTTCCTTCTTCCTGCTGCTCATATCCTCGTGGCTTTTAATGGCTCTCCTCACTTCACTGGCTTCCTTGAGTTTCTAATTCCAACAGACTTCCTTTCCTGAGATAGGTTTGCATCACTGTGGCATCCAAGCTGTCCCGAATGAATACCTCTATCTCTCTCATCATTTGAGCCCACCTCACTCTGACTCCCCCTTTTTTCTCTTGATTATCAAACATTTATTTTTTCTCCTTCCATCCTCTCTTCCTCCACACATATACAGAAAAAGAAAAAAAATCTTATAGCAAATATGCATAATCAAACAAAACAGATTAGCATAATAGCCATAC